CCCGGGCTCCCCGTTCGGGGAGCCCGGGCCTACCCCCCCCAGCCCCCCGCTGTTTGATTAAGGGCTAATTAGGGTGTCCCCTCACTTTTTCTCGCCCTCGAAGAGGAGGAAGGACTCGAAGGCTGGTGGCGCGTTCATCCCGCCGCCGCTCCGCCCTCACTCGCTATGGCGGCCGCGGCTTCGTCTCCGCTGGCGTCACTTCCGCCCACTCTCTGCCCTTACCTCCCGGCCGCAACAGCGCCCCCCTGCGGGCGGGAGGACTCGGTGCAGACACCAGTAGAGCCACCGCTGATGCCACCACCAGTAGGGCCACCAGAAATGGCACCAGCAGGGGTATGAGAGATATCACCAGTGGAGGCATCCGTGGTGCCACCACGGTCACCAGTAGGACCACCAGAAATGGCACCAGCAGGGCCATCAAAGATGTCACCAGTGCCACCACCAGTGGTGCCACCACAGCCACCATTGGAGTCACCAGTGATGCCACCACTGCCACCACCAGGACCACCACAAATGGCACCAGCAGGGCCATCGGTGATGGCATCAGTGCCACCAGTAGCACCACCAGTACTGCCACGAGCAGAGACTCCAGGGATGCCACCACCACCAGCAGGGCCACCAGAAATGGCACCAGCAGGACCATCTGAGATGTCACCAGCGCCACCATCAGCAGCACCACCAGTGCCACCAGCAGAGCTGTGGCCAGCCCCCCACCCTGTGCCCGTCCCCATGGCCAGCAGGGTGCCACCAGAAGGACAGGACAAGGCTGCAGTGTACAAAGTGCCTTTATTTCCACCGTCATGGTCCCCAAGCCGTGGGGACCCCGAATCCCAGCAGGGGGACAGGGGATCCCTCAAGTCTGCAGCTGCAGAAGGACAGGGGCTGGGGGTTTGGGGGGCTGTGCCTGGTGGTGACAGTTCTCCAGGTCCCCCAGCACCCTGAAGAGCCGGCTCAGCCCCTCGGGCAGGGGGGCATCTGTGGGAGAGGGGAGCAACAGTGAGACCCCACAGCCCCCTTGGGAGACACCCCCAAACCACCACAGCCCCCCGTGACCCCTGGGGACATTGCTCAACCAGAGCATCCCCAGTGGGGTCCCCAAAACCCCCCAACCCAACTTACCTTCCCTCCGGGGCCCATTCTGGGCGTCCTCCGGCTCCTGTAGCTCCCAGTACTTTTCCCTGGGGAGAGGGGGATGAGAGGGGCAGGCCCTTGGCAGGAGCACAAGGGGATGCAGGGGGGTCCCCAGGGGGAAGGGACTCACCTGAGGGCCCCCCGGAGGCCCTGGAGGTGGTGGAAGAGCCGCTGAGCCTCCACTGTGGGGTCCAGGGGGTCGCTCCAGTCCTGCAGGGTGACGCCGTGCCGGGTCCGGTCGCACCCCAGCCCTGTGGGGCAGCAGGGTCAGCACGTGGGAGGACGCCCCCCAACCTCCCTGTGGGGGTCCCAGGCCCCCTCCCCGTACCTGTCCTGTCCCGCTGGTGGCAGCAGCTCCACTTGTCCCCGCGGAAGACGCCGGGGTGGTAGGAGCGCAGCACACGGGGGTTGTTCCCGCACACCTTGCGCAGGGCCGACAGCCACTGGTTCAGCTCATTGACACACTGTGGGGTTGGGGACAGTGAGTGGGACACCCCTCGGGCTGTGACACCCCTCGGGGCGCCCCCCGCTGTCCCCTACCTTGCACTGCAGGTAGGCTGTCTCCTGCTGCCCGCCCGTGTCCGTGTAGACCACCTGCATGACGTGGGAGCTCCCAAAGCTCTTCTCCTCCACCTTCTCGGCCGCGAGGATGTTGGACAGGGCGATGGCACCGAGGCGCTGATGGAGGGGACACACACACACAGAGAGGGTCAGTGCCACCCTGCTGCCACATCCCCAGCCCCCAGCACCCCCCTACCTCTGCACTGGGGCTCTTGCCGAAGCTGAGGGACTCCCCGGTGAGGCAGAAGTGGAGTTTCTTGCCGGCGGCGGCGCCGAGAAGAGGCCCCTTGCCCCGCGTCTTGTGCACAAAGAGCAGCCCCTCCTTCACCACGGCCGTGGGGGGGCCCAGCGGCCACCCCTCGCCCTCCTCCTCCCCCTTCTGCTCCTCTGTGCCCACCAGGCGGGTGATGAAGTCCTTCATGCGGGCGATGCCCTGCTGCAGGGCGGGCAGCAGTGGGGACAGCCACGTCTCCTTGGCCCGCCCAGCCGCCGGCTCCATGTTTCCCACCATCTGGATGGCCTGGAGACGCCCGGGGATGGCGGTGTCAGCCCCAGAAGACCCAGCCATCCCAAATGGGAAGCAGCCAGGCACCTCAAAGCCCCTCCTGGGTGCCACCCCTTGTCCCTTGGTGTCCCCACCTTGGCCAGCAGCAGCAGCGTGCGGCTGGTCCGCGCGTCCGCGTGTGTCTCCCGCAGCTGGAACAGCTTGGGGGTCATGACGGCCGGCGAGAAGAAGCGGAGGCAGAGGAAGCTGGTGACGGCCACAAATTTGGCATGCTGTGACCACCGAGATGGGGGGGGGAGACATGTGTGGGTCTGTCCCAAAATGGGACATCCCCAGGCACCCCACACAGCACCCAGGGCTGTTGTTTGGGTGCAGCACGGCCCCACTCGCTGTCCCCCTGCGCCCCATCCCTGGGCACTGCCCTCAACCAAAGCTGGGGACTGCCCCCAGTGAGCCCTGGGGATGTCCCTGTTTAACCACCCTGGCCCAACCTGACCTGGTGCTGGGGGAAGCGCTCCCCGACGCGCTGGAAGAGCTGCCGGAAGGCGGCACGGATGACGGGGGGACACGCCGGGGCCGACCTGGCGATGGCGTCCAGCAGCTCGCCCAGGTAGGACTGGAGGTGCTGGCGGCCCTGCTCGATCACCTCGCCCTCCGTCTGCACCCGGTGCAGCCCCGAGCACCTGCGGGCACCGTCACTGTCACCTCCCTGTCTGGGGACCCCCTGTCCCACCTCCCCAACAGTCCCTTACCCGACGTCTTTGATCTCCACCTTGCCGGGGTCCAGCTCCACGTATTTCTTCTCCTCGAACACGCGGGCGATCGTGGGCCCCAGGACAGAGTGCAGGTATGGCATCCCTGTCACCTGCCAGGAGACAGCCCAGGGGACAGTGATGGGCCACAGGTCTGGCTCAAGACACCCTCAGGGTCACCCAGGGGATTTTCTCCGGCCTCCTAGCCCCAGAGGAAGACACAGCCCCACTAGCACTCCCAATCCTCCCCCCGGCAACTGGACCCCTGGGGACATCCCAGAGCCAGGGTGACCTGGGAAGAGCAAGTCTTGGGAAGTTCGGCACCTTGAGGAAGGACTCCATCGACTTTGAGGCCAGGGAGTTGCTCCGAAACAAAGTGTTGGGCTCACCTGCAAAACAAGAGAGGTTCCATGGCCTGGGGGATGGACACAGGTCACCCACCAAGCAGCTTCAACCATGGGGGCATTCCCAGGGGCTGTGCCCTCCAACCCTGGCCATTTCCATGAGGGTTATGGGGATTTCCAAACCTCAAACCACCTG